AGTGCGATGTGCTGCGGGGAACCCGGGCGGGCGAGCTCCAATTAAGCCTGTGTCGAAGGGCATATAGGCCTTATAGGGTTTGTGGGATTTATGGGGTTTATAGGGTTTAGGGTTCCGCTATGGGGACCCAAATTGACTCCTATCACGCTTCCACTAAGGGTGATATTTGGCCTTGATGAGGTCTTTGGGGGCTCCAGGGGTTCAGGGTTGTGGTGCCGGTTTAGGGTTTAGGGTTTAGGGTAAAACCCCGGCAGTAAGAAACATTCCTAAACCCTGCACACCCGAAACCCCTTTGCACACTCATTCCATTCTAGCTACTCGGGTTTAGGGCAAGATGGAGTTCTCTAGGGGTTCCTTAATGTGACTATATGATAATCTACCCCCCAAACCTCATCCTAGTTATGCAGGCCAACATGAACAAGAACCCAAGTAATCCCAAGTATAGACCCCTGATCTAAACAAAACCCCTTTATCGAACCCTTAAAGGCACTCTAATCGTACCCTTTCTTTTCTAGGTCAGGCAACCCTATAGACCCTAAACGCCCCCAGAGGTCGGCAGCTACGCAGGTGGAGACATGGCCCTTGTCGTTGTGGCTTGGAGCGCTTGGAGCTGTCCGGGTTGGGTTTATAGGGTTTAGGGTTTAGGGGGCTTTGGCCTGTAACGCTTCAGAGATAGCATGTTCCGGGTTTCGGAAAGTTTCCCGCAACACTGAGCCTTTCACCTCAGCAATCCCTCAACGCTAAATCCAGTTCTCATAGACTTGGATTTAACGATCGATGAAAGTCTGAAAGATTAGATTAGAAACCCAACTGCACCGACACCCGCTTAGGCTTAGACCCAACATTGAACTTTCCAACCAGTCTCCAACAACAAAAAAGCACGTCGCCCAAATCTGCTACAACTATATTGACAGCGGATCCGTAAGCCATACGTCTAAACCTCAACCTCTTGTTGGTCACTTCGGCGAGGGGAAAAGGGTCGTGCAAAAAAAAATCCTCAACCAAATCCGAAACATACCCAAATTGAGAATGGAGAACTCCGATTATGCAGCCAGGTCTTCCACTGTGCCCTTGGAGGCTTGTCCGTAAATCGTATTAGGGCACTGCCGAAGAGCTATGCAAGGCACATTCCAATACAGTCCATATATGTACGGCTTTTATGCAAGTAGTCCAAAGGATGGTCGTTGGAGCTTTATTCTGGTATAATATATGGACCATCTAGGTGTCCGAACGAGTGCATACCGGACGATCCAAGTAAGCCTAAACCCAACCCCCCAAACACGAAGCCCCGAATCCGAAACCTGAAATTTGAAACTCCAGATCCTACCCCCGCAAAGCCGAAGTCAGCTTTGTCCGTAGACGTCTCAGGGGAGCTGGGTTCAGTTCAAAGTCAAGGAAGCCCCTTTCCGATGAAGTAGTACGTAGTTCGGAGCCTTTTTTTCAGCGCCCAGGACCTTGGGAAAGACCTCTTGGGAAGGTGAGCCCCAAACTCTA